CTTTACTTTTCTTTCATTCACACTTTTCTATCCTCAAATTGTCAATGATGTCGCTGATATTGTTGTTTTCGTTTTTCTAGCTCCATCACACAACAGTTTTGACTCTTTTGACAACTCAAACCCTTCGGTACCCATGGAATCTCGGAGTTTGTGCCAAAATCCGACGCTCACTCCCAGTACTGCCACCAGTTCAGGTGTCTTCTTCGATAACCCAACACCCCAGACGTTTGAAATGAATGACACCCACGTTAAGTCCCCCAACGGCAATTGTCTCTTAAAACCCACGGGACCCACCTCAGCTACGGAGTCAATCAGGAATGCTTTTTTGGAGGCGGGTTCAGTATACAAGTCGCACAACAGTTCCATCATCGAGATCGATTCTCAGGAAAGCCTCCCACCCAGCTTCATCCGCAGCTGGTCTGCGGGGCAAGTGGCCAAATGGCTCACAGACTGCAACCTTTCCAAGTTCACTGAGGCCCTCGACGGCTTGGACGGCTGTTTGCTGTGGGAGCTAGCTCGCCAGAGAATTGTCGCACCAGAGAGTTTTTGTGTCCAACTGCGTTCGGAGCTCGGCATGTCCATTATTGAGTTTCTGCGCCTCAGTCATGCCCTTTCCCAGCTTTCGGATTTGCATGAAGATTAAAACTGGCACTATCTTACTCCGCTGTTTCAGTTTGACCTCTCTTATCCCTCCATCCTCCGTTCCATTCTTTTTTCGGTAATCTTATATTTTCGTTATATGCCTTCGTTTCCAGAAATGTGATACGCGCTATCTTTTTACTTGCCCGATGACTTTGTATTGACCATAACCAAGAACGGCTGTTACCAGATGTGATATTTTACCTATATATTTGTATAAACTGAATAAATGCCTAAAGTTTTTTTCCCACATTTTCCGTTGTTCTTTTAAAAGTCGAACAACCGCTCAAAAGAAAAATAGCTTTGATCTGTCAGGGTATTTTGTCTACCGTTTTGTCAAATGCTTCAATTCAGATGCTTCGATTTATTTCCATAGTCATCAACTGAGTTGCATAGACTGCTGTTTACAGGGCCATAGATAACAAAAGTGACCCATTATTGTGTAGGCCAGAAGAAGACTGGTCGAACTCGTGCCATAGGATGTCGTTAGAGAGTAAAGAAATGCAACGGAACGCGCAACCATTTTAAGGGATGTTTGCCAAATAATGGCCAGTGACGCGGGTATGCAGGTGGCGGTTCAGGGCTCTCTATGCCGACGCCATATCTACACATTAATTAGTTTAATTATCATCCGAGGTCTTGGCCGCAGTCAATGCTCAGCCT